TAATAAATTATATTGTAAAATAAATTGTATATTATATTGATAATAAATTAAATAAATTTAATAAATTTATTTTTAATTCAATTAGTATATAATAATTAATAACTTAATTATTAATAAATTATATTGTAAAATAAATTATATATTATATTGATAATAAATTAAATAAATTAAATAAATTTATTTTTAATTAAATTAATATATAATTATTAATAACTTAATTAATAAAATAAATTATATATTATATTGATAATAAATTAAATAAATTTAATAAATTTATTTTTAATTCAATTAGTATATAATAATTAATAACTTAATTAATAAAATAAATTATATTATAAAATAAATAATATATTATATTGATAATAAATTAAATAAATTTAATTAATTTATTTTTAATTCAATTAGTATATAATAATTAATAACTTAATTGGTAATAAATTATATTACAAAATAAATTATATTTTATATAATATACTTTGTATTACAATACAATACAATACAATACAATACAATACAATACAATACAATACAAATACTAAATATATTATGTATCCTATTGTATATATATGTAAAAGATAAAAGATAAAAACGTGTATAATCAGATATCTCATAAAAAAAAGACCATATTTTTTTTTATTATTCGATATCAAAAGATCAAAGTAACCAATAAATCATCTTTTTTGATTCGATTCGGATTTGTTAAGCATTAAAATGTAGTTTAGTTCTGCATTCCATCGCGTAAGATGTGATACTAAGTACAAAAAGAAGAAGAAGAAGAAGAAGAAGAAGAAGAAGAAGAAGAAGAAGAAGAAGAAGAAGAAGAAGAAGAAGAAGAAGAAGAAGAAGAAGAAAAAACAAGCCAAAAAGAAAAAGAAAATGATCGAAAAAAAAAGAATGAAAGATCGATAACAACGAGTGGTGGTTCATATCCGTTTATCGATTTTGGTGAAGTCGACTTTTAACGAGTGTGTCCGTAAACGGACAAAGAGAGGATGAGTACCTTTCGTTCTATCTCATTTTATCTCTCTCTCTCTCTCTCTCTCTTTCTCTCTCATTCGTTTTGAACACGTTTTTCCATTCTCTTTTTCTTCAACGAGTCAATTTCCTTCGGGACTGGCGCACGGCAATGGGGGTTGCACGTCAGGGCACCGATCTCGTTTCTTTCTCCTCCACGTTTTCTCTCAACTATATATATATATATATATATATAAGTATTTGTTCGATTTTTTTTTCTGTTGGCAATTCGGTTTCGAAACGAAAGGAAACGAAACGATGCTCGTGGCTCGTATCAAACTTCGACACCTTGCGAAATTCACATCTTTCAGTATAAATAAATAATTTAAGAAAAAAAAAAAAAAAAACACTGCATACCAACAAAATACTTAAAATATACGCCTACTGAATAAATTTAAAATATACTATCAATATATTTCTAAATCGTCGAAAACACCTTTACCTAGTAAACCCTACTAAATAAAAAAAAATAAAAAAATAACAAAGGTAATATCTACTCAGGAATCCTTAATATATTATCCAAATTTATTCCCAACCCGTTGTAATCCCGATAATATCAAGACAAAAATAAAGACACCAGGTGACCAAAAGAAGTTCCAAGGAAATAATAACTAACTCCTTAGTGTTAATTGCAGTTTCAAATAAGAAATGAAAAGAAAATCATTGGGAAGTCGGAAGACAGTAAGAATTGAACAAGCCAGTAGTCTTCTTTAACGAGCGGCACGACGAGAATAAGAACTTAGGTTGATTCCCGATGACACGGCGAATCAGATATGGCTGAAGTCAATAGTCGCATTCACTCGTTCTCATCATCATCATCATCATCATCATCATCATAATCATCAAGCAAGCAAGCAAGCAAGCAAGCAACCAACCAACCAACCAACCAACCAACCAACGAATCACCACTTCCTTCTCTTCACCATATTCCCCCCATCCCCATCCTCATCCTCCTCCCTGATCCACCTCGTCATCGACATTTGCATCGGCTGCAGCTGCAACGGGACGGTAACTCGAGAATTTTTACGAGCTGGGTCAAAGTTCGCGCATTACCTGCCGCTGGCACGTCGAGCCAATCCCCGATGACCGGTGGGTATTGGTAAAAGTAATAGTAGTGGTAGTGGTGAGTCGTGGTTGTATAAGTTCTTTGCTTCTGCTCATTGTCATAGTCGTTCAAGTTGATTTCAAAGAAAAAAAGATCGAACGGGGCCGAATTAGCATAGGCCGCACATGCGTATTTATTTCCTCATTAACGCCATGGCTGACCCCGTCAGACTGTTATCGTTGTTGTTGTTGTTGTGTTGTTGTTTAATCATCTCTTTTTCATTCTTTTCAAACGTGTGCATTAGCAAATAGAGATAGAGAGAGAGAATGAGGGATGGTAAGGAAGAGGGGGGGAAATGAAATTGGAAAGAGTATGCTATTTATGTTATAATGTGCAATCGTTTTCTAAGTAATCTGCATACACAGTTTGAATGAATAGAATCTTCGAGTAGGTAATAATCCCAATAACAACTTCCTCTATCTCATTTTAACGTTTTCCATCTTTCCAAGTAGGCGTATTACTCATGATACATATATATATATATATATATATATATATATATACAACAATAACAACAACAATTCATGCAGTTTTGGCAACTTTGAGTTGAACGAACGTTGGTCGAGTTATAGTTGAGTTAAAAGAAGAAAAATAAGTTAACATCTCAATCGATCCTAGTTCAAAGTTAGAAACACGGGGAAAGATATGGGAGATTGGTGAGGGGGAGTTGGGTAGAAGAAAAAGGGTGGTTGGGTTGAAAGAAGGAAGTCTGTGTCTTCGGGTATGTAATAGAAAGAGAGAAAATGAGAAAGAGCAAAGAGCACGACAGTGAAAAGTGCAGAGGTAGAGGGCTGCGACCTGACTGACCCTGACTCGATGGCCCGGCCGCCTTCGAAGCCCTTCGTAGCCCTACTCCTATCACTTTTACCCTCACCCTTAGCCTCGGGGGTGGATGGAAGGCGGCCCGGCCCATTTTTCGCGCCCCACTTGACTCCTCGTGCTCATTGGCTGCCGCCCTCTAGTTGGTGACCTCTCTTTCTACGAGCACAACCCCTGGTGTTTCATCCAACCCCACCTTGTTAACGATACCTACCACTACCACGTAAGTGTAAGTAAGAACGAAAAAAGATCTGAAATAAGTGTAAGAAATTGAACTAATATGTAAAACAACAATATAACAATAAAATGATGAGAAAGGATTATCTTAACGATCGATTGAAGAAACATTGTTTAAATTGAAGTTTAAATAAGATTGGCAGGTTGAAGAAATCTTTGAGAGATAGATTGAGAATTTAGAACGTAGAAAATGAAGAAGAAGAAGCCTAGACCAATGATAGAGATAAAGATAGGGATAGAGGAAACGAAGAGTAGTTAGCAGTAGTAGTAGTAGTAGGGATAGCAAGTAGAGAGTAAGTAGTAGAGTGGGAGATATAAAAAGAGAAAGAGGGAGAGAGAAGTAGTTGATAGGAGGTCGGACCAGAGTGCAACGGAGCTAGAAAGACTGATCAAAAGAAAGAACTAAAGAAAGAAAGAGATATAGACGAAGAAGCGTAGAAAGAGAGAGAGAGAGAGAGAGAGAAAGGCACACGTTGCGCGAGACGACTACGACGACGACTACGACGACTATGACGAGGAGGATGAGGACAACGAGGACAACGAGGACGACGAGGACAACGACGACTACGACGACTACGATACACGTTGCTTGCTTGCTAGACGGTGGTCGGTTAAACGCGTGTGGTGGGTCTGTTGTTGAGGGGTAGGGTAACTTCGTAGCCAATGAGAGGCTCACCGGGGCGCGCCCGGGACTCGACCCCACCTTCGGTAGTCATGGCAACCCGTAAAATCCGCGAGAAAGCCGCGAGGCTTTGGGGTGGTGGGGGCCAGGTCGATGTCAGGGGTCGTCTTAGTCGGCAGTCGGTCTCTGGTCGGCCCCAAGAATAGTCGTCGTATCGAGGCGGTAGTCGAGTATCACCTCTCTGTTCTCTCCTCCTCCTCCACCACCTCCTACTACTACTACTACTACTACACACTACTACTACTTTCTTTACTCTATTGTATACTACCTACTACTACTACTATTACTACTACCGTGTTGGTCTTTCCTCATCAAACACACGTAGTAGCAACGTGTGTTTCCAAGGATTCTGTGCGCGCGCGCATCTATTGCTCTCTCTCTCTCTCTCTCTCTTTCTCTCTTTCTTTTTCTTTCTTTTTATCTTTTTATCTATCACTCTTGTTCTTCTTTATTTTATTCTTTTTTTCTCTATTTCTATTACCTCTCATTCTTCTTTCCCTTTTATTTACTACTACTATTTTATTTTATACACAGATAGTACTGTTACTATTATTATTATATTTCTTAAATTTGATTGAACATTATTATAGGGGTGTCCCTTTCCAATCCATCTTTTCTTTCTCTTTCTATTTTTCTTTCGTTCCTTCTCTCTCTCTTTCTCTCTCTCTCTTTCTCTTTCCCGCGCGCGTGCCTCCCAGTTTACCGTCAGGCGACCGCATACGCTCCGACGAGGACGACGTGCCGCCCGTAGTCTCCCGGAACCGACGATCCGTCGTCGTTGTCGTCGAGTTTAACGTGCCCGCGCTTTTTCGGTTAGTTTCGTTGAATTTAAAAGAAGAAGAGGAAAAAGAAGAAAAATAAGAAGACAACCAACTTGGTGCCCCGTTTAGTGTGGCACGAGACCCCCCATTACTTCTACCCCCTGTAATTGTGGTGACAAGAAAACAACGACGTTATTTTACGGTGTTTCTTTATTTTTAATAATAAATTTTTTTTTAATTGAAAAAAGAAAGAGAGAAGAGGAAATAAAAAGTGCAAAGTTAGTTTGAAATAATTGAATCGACCGGTTGTCTGGTATCATTCCGTTCCCGACGCGCGTGTTCTTCTTTAAAGTTTGGGTGGGGTGGGTGGGGGTGGGTTCTATTTGACCCCCCTTTTTAAAAAGAAGAAGAATAGTGACCACAAGTGCGTTAGTTCGAATTGAATTTAGTTTTGTTTATTAAATAACATATAACAATCACGCGATGTCAACAGGACGTTCATCGATGACAATTAACATCAGAAGAAGAGGGATCATCTTTCATGTAGTTTATTGGACTCTCTAAAGTTCTATACGAAGGATCGTGTACTGTAACCACAATTTACCGGTGATCATAAAGTGTGTATTGGATTATCGTTTTACCCTAAACACTGATAGTTGTTAAATAATATAATATAAAGCAGTTGACATCAATCAGTTAGCCAGTTATCCAGCCAAGTTAAGTCAAGTCAGTCAAGCAAGTAAAGTCAGTTGTTAATTGGTGTGGGAGTGTAATAAATAATAAAAGTGAATATAGAATAAAAAGACACGTACCTTGAGAGAAGCGAGAGACTCCTCGCGATCAGCGCGAGTCGAGTCGATTCGTCTGAGGGCTCGGTGGTGGCGTACGAAGAGGAGGAAGGAGCCGTCAGGGTGGTTCGAGGGGGGACAGGAGGCGCGGACGCCCTGGCGACTGCCGGGGTGGTTTACCCGGCCGCGACGGCGACGTTGTTCCCCGGCCGGGTGCCGGCAGGACACCATCACCACCACCACCACCACCACACCGAGTTCACCAGCACGTTGGAGCTGGGGTTCCCGGCGCGCGGCACCACCGCCTCAATGGCGCTGGTAGCCCCGCCGCCCTCGTGGGCATCGCGGGACCCTGGAAATAGTCTTGGGACCGGTGGTGGGCCCTCACCGGCAACGGCACCGGCTGCTGCCACGGCCGGCGGCGGCGGACCACTTCAGGTTGGCCCGCCGCCGCCCATGCCTCCTACCACGCATTTAACACCCTCGGCTACGCCCGAAGATATCACGTGCCTCGTATCAACCGGTGCTGTTTTAACACCTAGGGATCCTTTACCACCTAGCACTACACCTGGAAGTCAAGCTAACAGTTCGCAATCCGGTAGCTCGCAAACCGACAAATCACCTAACATCGAGTGCGTTGTTTGCGGTGATAAAAGCAGTGGGAAGCATTACGGACAATTCACCTGCGAGGGTAAGTGTCTAGTTTTATTATTTTATCAACCAGGATAAATCAGGATTTATCGTCCTACTGATATATTCGATTACACTTTATTTATCCCCTTTTTATTCCCTCGGAGAGATTTCTTTAACCATCTTTATCAGGATTTATATCCTTTACGTCTTATTCCCACGATCTTTTGATTTAGGATAATCACGGGTTGTTACCCCACGTAAAAAATGAACGATTCGTGTTATCTGAAATTTTAAGTTCGATCACTATATTCAACTCATTAACATTCACGAGTATCATTCCATCCCTTCCGGTTTTTTTTTCTCTCTCTCTCAAACATAAGAACAAAGTCAATGTATCAATGTATATAATCCTAACTACCTTAACTCACTCTATACACCCATACTCGTATAAATTCCTTAAGGAATAGAATGAAGAAGATACGTTCAGGGTATTATAGCAACAACTATACTGTGCGGTTTTAAGGGGGGCGGGAAAGGGGGGGCAAAGGATATAGCGTAAGGCAAGGAGTAAAACCACGGACGTTCCTAATGACGTTTATTACCGCGAGAATTATTTTAATGAACGCACGGTGGGGACTTAGGTGAGAGAGGAGTACTGACGAATCATTTTTTTATTTTTATCTTTCTTTGAAAATAAAAATAGGACTGATTGTGGTGGTTTTGAGAGAGAGAGAGAGAGAGAGAGAAAAAGAAAGAATTAAGATCAAACTGTGAGATACGTTTTGCTGCAGTTAATTGCACTCTTTCAATGTAGTCCAAATGTGAAAGAAAGAGATAGAAATATATGTATATATGTTTAAAGAGTGAGTGAGAAAGAGAGAACGTTTCGTTTCGTTTCGTTTCGTTTCGTTTCGTCGGTGAACGTTCAAAGTGCGCGCAAGTGCGGAACGCGTGTGTTTCGCGATAGAGGTCGAAAACTGTCGAGCGATTAAACCGCAATGGGGACACACACATACACAAACACGTTACATTCCACTAGAATACTATACCATCGATAATTGCCGACCATTTACAACCTGTAAAACGTGATACCATATCCCACCTGCTACGGTTTCACTACGATTCCGTACTTCGTACACGTGTTAGGTTTCTGTTCAATTATATTTGTCAAAAAATATCAATCACTAATTTTCGTGTACAATGATTATCAATCTTTTGTCAATACGATACTCATACTATCACATAGAATAATTTCTGCCATTATTATGAATATTTCGATCTATTTTTTTTTTTTTTATAATTATTATTCGCGTATCGTTTGTTCGTAATTTAAAATGAATTCTTACTTTGTAAAGTGGGTTGAGTTTTTTTTTTTTTGGAATATAATTGATTAAGATAATGATCTTTTATTTTGTAATGTTTAAATCTATATAGATCATGCTAAAACCGGATTGTTTTATTAAGTGTTTGCTTAAGTGTTTGAAACAATTGCAATCATATCTTCTCACCTGTTCGTAATTGTTATTGTAATTTAACTGAAACTCGTACTTGATATTTACATGGGAATTAAGTTTCTTGTTTTTGTATTCATTGCAAAACAAAAATATATATTAAGTGTAGAAACCTTTTTAGAAATCATATTGAACATTAATGAAATCCTTAAATCACGTCAATCATATTACTATCATTTAAAAATAATATTCCAACGTTTAATCCGATTGAACACGAATTAAAATTAAAATTTCAATCATTAGAAGAAAACATTAAATAATATAATAATAAATAATTTGTATATATAATATTTGAATAAATCACGTGAGAAAAAAAGATTGAGAGAGATGTGTGTGTGTGTGTGTTAACTATTTCTATTTTTTTTTTTTTGAAATATAATTAGTGTCATATAAAAATAATTGCATTTGTATCAGATCTACAACATTGTGTTTCTGTCACGTACAAAGTTAGAAGATATTTACACACGTTAGGGTCTTCCCTTTATTTCTTTCTTTCTTTTTCTGACTTTATCAGGTTGATCTCTGTTTTTTGAAATAAAAAAAAAAAAAAAAATAAAAAAGTAAATATAAAAAGAGCCGACGGTCGCGTGGCCAACCCGCGGAAAGCGCGTCGCGAAGATACCTAAGAGATATCCTAATGAACCCGCGTTTCTCGGCTAATTACTCGCCCTTAAAAACGGGCTCTCCTTGCTGATCTTCACAGTGCGATGAACCTTTTGAACGCTCGGAGACCGGTCGTTGAGCTTCTTCATTTTTCTTATTCCCTTTTTATAGTTTTTTATTTTTTATTTTTTTTTTTTTTTATTATATTCATTTAACATTTTTTACATAGCAACGATTTGATTTATTCAAACACACTAGGAATTGATGATGATTGTAATAAATTAATAATAATACTTGACAGTTCTTATTTAAATGAAAATTGTTATTAACTAAATATTTTATATAATATTTGTTAGAAATTAATTAAAAATTTAATAATTTATTATATATTAATTTATTACTATTACGATTGAGTTGTATCGAATAATCATTTTTGCTAACGTTTAATGATTTTGATTATTTTGATCAGTTTGATTAAATAATAAAATGAAATTTATATTTAGAGAAAAGAAGAATGTTTTAACATTAAAAAAAATAAACGTAAATTGCATCGGTAGGACGCATATATGCGCTCATATCACTCGATATGTTAAACAATATGTGATTCAAATTAAATGTGATAGTTCATAAGATACATTCATTAAATACATTACATACAATACATTATTTGATATTTTCTCAATTGTTTAAACAAAATATTAAACAAACTTGTGTGTGTTTGTGTGTGTGTGTGTGTGTCTGTACCTGCTAATATTCAACAAGAAAAATAGAAAAAAAATATGAAGTGCAAATGAATGAATCAAACTCAGTTTCAAGATCTTTGACAAGTGATTTGAAAATGATTTCGGATTTGATTGAAATAATTTTCATAAAATAGTGATAAATAGATTTTTAATTAATAAGAAAATGATGGAGTTATATTTGTATCAAAAAAAAAAAAAAAAAAATAGAAAAGAAATGGGAATATTTATTTTTCGTTTGATGTAACTTTGAAACATTTGCCACAACCCTCTTCTCGATGTGTTCCAATTACGATAGAGACACTGATGTTTACCGTTATTAGGGTGAAATCTCTCTCTCTCTCTTTCTCTTTCTCTCACTATGTTGGTGATATACTCAACGTCGTAATAACGTGCTCGATCTCTGACGATAATTTCTATTCACGGCGACCCTAATTGCCTGGAAAACGGCGACACGACCCTCGTCGTCGTAGTCTGCTGCTGTTAGTCCCAGTGACACGTCGAAACTATCGGGTGCTTTCTCTTTTTCTCTTTTTTATTTATTTCTTCCATTTATTTTTTTTTTATATTCCTTTTATTCTATTTATTTTCGTTAAAACATTATTAAATCGTTCGAATGTTTCTATATTAAAAAAAAAAAAAAATCGGTTGTCAAAGTGCTTTTATTCCTTCCATTGATTTTTTTATTTTTCTTTTCAATTGTATTTTCTTTTTCTTGTACTTGTTGAAATATTTTCTATTAGTTAAAACATTATTAAATTTTTCGAATTTTTCTAATAATATTTTTAAATCTTTAATCAAGATTTTGTAATCATTATATGTATATAATTAAAAAGGTTTGTCAAAGTATTTGGCAATACTTTTGTAAATAGTTAATATTATTTATTATTATTAATCTCATGTGTTAGTATAATTGTTTTCGAAACAATATACTTATTTTTCATTCTTCATCGTATTATTTAATATTAAAAAAAACATTAATTATAGTAAATAAATTCAATATATATTTTAATATCTTATTAATAATTATCAAAATAACTTTAAAATACACCTGTCATATTTAAAATAACAATCTATCTTATAAATAAAATGAAATAAAATAAAATATTCTAACATAATTTTAGGATTAATTAGAAACATTTGAACAAATTTCACTTGCATATCAAATAATTTTATTAACATTATAAATAACAAAATAAATTACACATATATTGAAACAACAGAATAAAATCCCTAAAACGAACTTTTTATTCACCCTAATGTAACTAAAATTAAATAATTAAAATTACTATTTATTACTATTATTAATTATTGAAGTAACTAAAATGAAAATAATAAAATGAAGTGATTAAAATTACTATTTATTACTATTATTCATTATTTAAGTAACTAAAGTTAAAATAAAAAAAAGACAACGAAAAATGCAACATTGAACAAAAGCAATCGTGTAATCATCAACAAAAACCAATACAAATGTAAGACAATACTTCATACCTAACTAGATAATATTTCAACAAGTACGTGAGTGTACGTGTGTTCATGTGTTAATGTATATAAACGGTGTTACCGTTTGTACTTTTACAAAAGCCACAGTGTATACCTTTAGGTCTGACAGTTTCCTAGTTGTCGTTCATTATTTCTCTCTTTCTATGGTTGCCATATGTGAATCATCATCATCATCATCATCATCATCATGATCTAGTACACGTTTAGTGTCTGTGTGCTACCCTATTTTACCGATAACCCAGCATCATGATCAGCATCAGAATCAGCAATAGTAACAGTAACAGCAATCGAGAATTCAGCATCACATGAACGTACTGACAAATTGACGATAATTCGCGGCCGTTTGACATCGCTTGACATCAAAATCAATCCGTCGACGTAATATAGTGATCGCCGACAATCAGTACGATTATTATCACCGCAATGAACGTTCTCCAATGCGGAATCTTGCCCGCCCCCCCACCCCTACATCCCTCATTTTTTTTCTTCTTTGGTGCATACTCGGTGCAATTCATTTTTCCACCATTTTGATTTATTAATATCGAAATTATTTTATGTGGAAATTTTTGAGATTGTGTTTATGTTCATCATGATTCATATTTTTCATTATTTGGTTAACTTTACCCTTCCCCAACCCTTTAATTCGATTTTTCTGTGTTTTTCTTTTTATATCTTCTTCTTTGGTGCATACTCAGTGC